ATTACCCCTACGATAAGATATTGTTTCAGAAAATCAGGGCGTCTAGTTTTCTGAACGCACCTAGAGATAACAGAAGAATTTCATATGGTAAAAATTGTATAATTTACCGCTTTACTTGGTAAATTGTCTCTGTCAGTCTGGGATAATGTCAAATATTCTTATCATCATTTATTCCAGACGAGTGACAGTAACTAGATTTCTTCATTATTGAATGGCAAGAAAATGACAGTCAATAAACAGACAGTATTTTACAACATTGGGAGAGGTGTTCATAACGGCTATACGTAGACACTGTATGAATACTTAATGGGTATAATAAAAAGGGAAAAAAGACAAAAAGACAAATAATCTTGATCTTTATTATTTTTACATTATTTTAGCCATATTCGATGATAAAATAAAATATTAGCAATGATATTTTTAAATTTCCGATTTAGCAAGTGTTACACTTTCTTTTAGTTATACTTTCTAAACAAGCAACCTATTATTTTGTGATAAACGCTTTATCAAATTTCTTAAATAAGTTCTGTCGTTTTCGGCGTTCTATTGGGTTTGCGTCTTCCGCTATTCTTACGTGAGGAGTGACAAAGACATATTTTGTTTAAAATTTGTCAAAAATTTGCCTTCAACCACGTGATGTAGCACAGTACATTTGGTTTGAAATGACAAGTTAAAGTTTTACTTATTTCAGCTCTTTAAAATTTAAATTTTAAATTTATTTAAAATCACTATTCGATCCGCTTTCCACAACTTACATAAACTGTTGTAATCTGAGGAAAATGGGTCGTGACCCAAGTAAGGTTCAACACAAGATCCGTTTAGTGAAATGCAGACTCTTTAAATACTTAATATCACATACCTCTGGAAACGTTTTACTTTTTGTGAATTTGTTTAAATCTTTGCCTATTTATATAATAGCATAATTGTTAACTAGTGAGCCATTGAGTTAGATGTATATATTCAACGGCAGAACATCATATTGTCCGAGACGATATGTCAGCTGCTGGTAAATATATCACGTCATATTCAATGGCTCACAAGACAATAATTATATAATAATGAATTAGATAGTGCGAGCGTCTTTTAATGTCTAATATTACAGATGTCATGACATGCAAAATAACACATGTGTTAAAAAATAAGTTAACTCAGTGGTAAATCTACAGACTTAAAACAACCGAATCTGCAATTTTCTATCACAGAAAGTATCTCCGCTTTTCTTTTTTTCAACTGTTTTAGTAAAAATAGCAATATCGGTGCAAAACACTTGATTAATATTCCATATTTCTTGAGTAAATATTAATTTTCTTAAACTTATTATATTGAATCATGGAAAGATACAAGATTGTCACATAATCAAACAAAATCAAAACATAGTCATAACAAAAATGATATTTGTCACATGTCATTAATAATAAGATTTATCCAAAAGTAAATATTTTGCACGCAAATTTAATGTAAGCGATATCTAATTTTATAGAATTGATAATTCACAAGTTTAAAGTGGAGTGTTTTGACTGTAAGGATCTTTATTGAAAGAACAAAAATATTTATTTTGCACTTTTAGTTATCTCACTGATTCGCTTATCATTTTCAAAATTATTAAGTATTCAAATAGATATATATATTAAACGTATCTTCAAACATGATTAGGACCGACAAAACAAGATATCGTAAATGTGTTGGCTACATGTAAGAACACATTGCATTGCATTTATAAACATATTTGTGTAGTTTGGACTTAACAAAGGTATTTTCTTTCTTTTATGCCGATTTAGAAAAAAATATATTTTTTAGTAATTATATATTAAATGTCGTGTAAACATGCATTTTCATCAGTGGTTTGGTGTTTAAAATCATCTTTATTAAGCAAGCATGTTAAACTTCTCTCCACATTAAGTCTTATATTATACTGTTTTAGATAAGTGTTTTAGTGGCAGCTTTCTACAATATTGAAAATTAATAACTTTTATGATATTTTAAAGAATTAACTCGGACAGTCTTTTTTGTACAACATGTTTACAATAAATGTTTTAAAGTAGCTTAAACTAATATTGTTTTGTTACTCAATGTCTAAAATAGACATTAATAAGACAATAATAGATAAATACATTGATAAATTGGGCTATTCTAAATGAATAGCTACTATAAAGTGACCTCATCTTAAAGCATAACCATTTTTCTGGAACATTTCTTTTTGCTATTAGTCTGTTTAGAAAAAATCGACATAGTGGCCTCATCTTAAAACATAACCATTTTTATAGAACATTTGTTTTTACAATCAGTCAGTTTAGAAAAGATCTACATATTAACTTAAAATGTTGCTTATGGATCTCTATGTAAAAATATACATGTTCAATGTATTTCTAAATAAAAATGAGAAGGGAATGATTTAGAATGACGTTTTGTAATTATAGTAATTCTAACACACGCAATTTTGTTTAAAATGGCTTTTTATAAATTTATTTATTTATTATTTTAAATTTATTACTTTTAAAGGTTGAATACAATGCCGAAGAAATTATCTAGCTTTTGCCATGTACCGCGACTGCACTTAGAAGACAAATTTGTACAAAGCTGAACCCAATACCACTTAAAACAATCAAGTAGTTTATCAATAGGTTTAAATACGTCTTTTACTTCACATTATATCACAGTATATAAACATGTCTACTTTCTGTAATCGCAGGGAGGTTACACGTTAAAAGATAAAATAAGTACAGTGTTCGGAAGAAACATGTAATGGTAATCGCTAAACAGGGTACAATTGAATTGTGTAGGCTTGCAAGACAAAGTACAGCGATTTCGTTTATCTACTTTGAATATCAATAAAACACGCATACTTACATGGAAAAAGCATTGCGCTTTATTATGCTTTAAATTAAATGTTTATTACTGCATTATTTTGTCCCTTGATTTTGGTTACCCGATATCGTGCTGACATTACATTACAATGTAAAGTTAATAAGAATATGATTACATAAATAATTCTTTTTCTATCTTGGACAAGATTATGTCTATCAGGGGAGATAATGCCTGCAAACTTCGAATCAAAAGTCTGCATGGCTAATTATAAAACCCTAAAGAAATCAAAATAAAAGTCAATTTAGCAAGCGTCTTAGAATATTTTACGTCATATTTTTAAGGATCACGTGCAAAGGTCCTCTAAATACACATATTTCAATCTTACTTTTCTTGTAAAATGTATGAAAAAAGCTTTTCTTATCAAACAGGCATCTGTTATTCTAAAACTCTTTGTCGTTTTTTTTCTTTTAAGGTCATCAGCTGTTTGTTATACGATGACTCTTGTAAAAATTTCATTCTTACAAAATAAAATATTACGATTAATTTTATATTTCACGATGATTGATATTTTATTCGTATGCTTGAAAAAGATATTTTGATAAACTTGTTGATTTCGTTTTTCCACATCAATTAAAACTATGTATGTGTATTAAACAGTTTCTAGTACGTATATGTAGTACATAATAAATTTGTGATCAAACTTTATTCATATAAACGTATGCGAATTATATGTTAACCTTAAAAGCAAAGGCAGCATAACCTCATGTATTAATACACATATTTTAGTTAAAACATATTTATTTCCCGAATATATACATTTACATATATACATATGCAATACAAGTCAAACATTTTTATATTCAAGAAAATGATAAGAACGGATAACTACGTTTTATAAAATTATTGTCCTTTTTTCCTCACATCTTTTAAAATATGGTAATCATATTCCTAACATCGTTCAAAGATTTTACTCGCACATTATCAATTCAATATTCATTTAATTTTGACATATTTAGGTCGCGATAACTCCTACAAAGTACATGTACAATATTATCAAACCTGCTTTAAATCATGACAGATGCAATCAGATTATATAATAAAAAATACATAGAAACATCAAATGAAATAACTGAATTAGGGAAAGTGATTGTTAACAAAATTATCTTAACTTAATTTAAAGAAAGCAATCAAAATTTTGTCAACATGACATTTTTGTCAATCAAACAAATTCCTTCCTCAAAAGGAAAAAGAAGAAAACTCGTTAAGAAAATTTCATCGAACGTCTTAAGCAAAAAAAAAATGTTTTTCATCATTTTCTTACAAATCGAATGCTACTCATGAGCCAACACTGATTCACATCTGTACATTACATTCATGACTTCAATCATGTTTGTGCAATATATATATATAGTGAATGAACATCTATACGGTTTATCAGAAAAACAAAATGGCCAAGTGCTACGTATATTTCAAATATAAAAATAGAGGTTCGAATTAAATGGGTACATACATACATACCTACTTTTTCATTCGTTTGACGAAGTGTGTTGAGATCTAGTTGAGATCTAGTAATGAGACGATTCTTTGTGATTTTTTTTCTATTTACTTTTTAAAAAAGTTTTTTAACCGAAATTGACACGTTCCGGATTACTTCATAGTAAATTTCAGTGGATTGCTACAATACTTTGAAGTCCGCTTTTAAAATAATAACGTACAAGGATATGAAATTGATACGTTATGTCGTGACATCATTGCTGTATGCATTCATTCACTACTAAGATATAGACATTATTGGTTACCAGTCGTCGTCCCCTGCAATTAGATAATATGTGAAGTGGTCAGAAAGTATCCATTACTTACTTTAGAAATACAATCTTATGGAAAATGAATGCATACATTTGGTATAAACGAGACGAAAATAATTCAGAAAATTTATGTTATATGGTTACTAGTCGGTGATTAGTCTTGCAAAACATGGTGATGATATTCAATAATTATTGTGTATTGATCCGTAGCATATAAATAAGAATAAATAAATAAATAACAACAAGAAGAATGCAACTGCGTAACGTGCGCCATATTGTTTTAAATTCATAAAGATGTTACCAACAACTGATTGATGCAGAGGCGATAAGCTAATGGAATATTCACTGTTTGTAATTTAGTCTCACAATTATATTGTATTATTTTTTCAGAAGTGAGAATTACAGTTTGAATCGCTCCCGAAAACGTCTTGGTAAGTGAATATATTATTTTATAATAGATGAATTTTCTAGAATATTTTAAGTATATAAAATTTGAAGTCACAAATGTTTTTCAAGCTGCATGCCTTCAGATGATTCAGATTATTTCAAGAAAATAAACCTCGAAAAAAATGTACTAGGAATTAATGACTGATTTCGTCATATTTTACTACGTGAATGACGTAGTATGGGATTTTATATATTCTTGCCTATTTTGGTAACTTTCGTAGATTTTAAGTGTTGTTTGCAATACGTTAATTACTTTATTCGTTGACTTAACAATATCAAAAATTTAAAAAGTCAGCTTGAATCTAGAGGCATGCAGCTTTAAAATCATTCACGCACACACCATAACAAACATTCCCATGCTGTAGAACAGGTAGAACATTGTATGTATATTTTAACTACTACAAGTATTTCATATATGTTATGCATTACCTTCTGTACCGTCCTTAAATACTAATGTGCAACATCTATCTATCTTTTATCAAATAATGGCTGCTACATCAAGATAAGACTTGATAATGTCGTTGTGTCACAAGTTCAACATAATGTGAAATGATAAATATTCTTTTCATCAACGGTAACCCTACGATTAAATGTACTGGTTCTTTGTTATTCACTTTCTGCCATAAGGATTTAAATTATTAAAAAATGTTTTTATTTTTCTCTGTATGGTGGTTTCAAACTTTCTTATGTTTAGTTTGTTTACGGTATGTCTGCTTTTAGTAAAAAATAATAGTTTGGTAATTAATTCCCAGAAATGCTATCGTACAAATCAATTGTCAAATACTTATTCTAAAACATTTATTTTTAGTATCTTGTTACGGTTACCACCCCCCCCCCCTTCCCCCCCAAAAAAAAAACAAAACAAAAACAACAACAAAATAAACAGCAACACAATAATTCATTTTCCATCTAAAGAAATACCGTTTGCCTCTTTTGTTCTGTTTCCAATTAGTATATTATTTATAGTGAATAACTATTTTGTATGGAAGTCAAAATACTACTTTGTTTACACTCTGCTACCTTAAAGACACATTACTGTGCTATATTGCTTCTTTCATGAGTTGTTATACGTCTAACATGCTCTTCGGGCATTATTTAACATCTTTAAAATGTGTTTTAGATTTGTTATAAGATAAAGGAAACAATTTACTGTACAATTAACTTGATATTTGCAGCTGTGTCATATGAACTTTAGGTTTAGTTAAACAAAAACGGTTGTAATGTCAGTTAGCAAGTTCATGTAGATTTTATACAATATGACTTTGACTAGTTCATTTAAATTCAATACCAAAGATGTCATGGTCAACTATTGACGGATATTTCTCATGTGGTAAGCATTTTCTGTATTCTTTAATCATTTCGATATATAGTTTAGATAAATGAATATTTACTTTTCTAAATATTTAATCCGGTAAACATCGTGAAAATATACATGTATCAAGGTGCAGCTAAATTTGCCTTAAAGGCAAACGTTTTCTTTTTATGAACTCTATAGTCTAGAAAGGTGCTCATTGGCCAATTACCTGCTCTTTTGCTTTTTAGGCAATAAGTACAGTTATAGTGATTTGGTATATTGTATGGATGTCAAAATACTATAATTTTGTTTACATTTTGCTATTTTTATGACAAAGCTATAAACGTGCTCTATAACCATTATTCAGGCTAATTTGTTTGCATTTTCTGAAAAGGGAACAAATCATTTGTGTCTGAGGCATAATGTGTCTGCCTTTAAAATATTGTTATGTTGCAGATGCTTATCAATACAACTATAACAAGGAAAACCGTAGTAAATAGCAGTATAAAAATATAAGAATTATTAATCAAAACACCCTGGATCAATTTGTCATAATTTCTGAGTAAATATAAAAGTTCTAATAATAATGAAATGTTATCTAAGAATCTTGATTATGTCATGTCATAAAATCATGATAATATTTATTTTTGTAACAATAATTTAAAATACAATCTTAATGTAAATATTTTGCAGGTATTGCATTTGTCCTTGATATCTATTCACAGTCTATCGATACTTTAACAAGTGTTTACGGGTCTTGAATTTATAAAACAATGATATTTATTTTGCTCTTATAGTTTTAATCCCAGCTGATCGGCTGAATAATGTCATTCAATTATTATGAGATACTCCCACATGATATACACCGTTGTTTCGTTGCATGTATGTTTTACGTTTATAGCGGTAAAATTAAGTTTAAAGCGAATTAAAAAATCATTTATTACATTCAGATTTTACTAAATCTTCATCAAGAAGGTCCATCGAGGGTAATGATAGCAAAGATTGTTTAATAGTTCATGAGGGAATTGTTTTACAATGGAATTAAACTATGATTATCTTTAATGTTTAAAGTGAAAGCTTTCTTCTCAAAACAGGGATTGTTTTACAATTAAACAAGAATTGTCAATTTTTCAAATAAAATTATATAAACTAGACTATTGCAATTTATTGCAACCGATATAACAATTAATGCCTTTAATGTGTCGAAGTATGAAAATATGAAAAGGTAACCGTTTTTGTTATAAAACTTGATATGAACATTTCTAATTTATTTGTCTGTTGCAAAAACAAAAGAGTGATACACCTGTAATTGAGAACAGACTTACAACTATCGAGATGCCATTATTTGTAGAATGTGTTAATTATGTAAACTGAAAAAAATGATTCTTATTGTAAAAACTGCTTATTGGTTAGAGCAGTATTGTGTTATAGTTTTTTTTAGATGATGGCGATAATTCCTTAACAGTGCATTTGTATCTTTTGCTATGTCTTTTAAATTCAACAGACGAACATTTTGAAGAACTGATATAGAAATACTATTACTTCAATGTATATAAGTTTTTTTTAAATATATTTTTCAGAAACGGATAATCATAAAACGAAATATATTATGACTTAATAAATAAGGTTTATTTAGGTTGAAGTGTCATGATGAATATGATATATTTAATAACCACCTCTTAAACAATGAAAATTAGATAACTATTTACATATTAAATGAAAAATCGTTCAGAGAACGTATGTGCGTAAAACGGCTGGCAATGTTCAATGATGATCTCACTTTAAATAATCAGTTGCGTATCTTAAAATGTATTGAAGTTGGAAATTATTAAATCTTTTCTTGATATTTAGAATGCTTCTAAAGTGTCTTTTTTTGTAATTTGAATTAATCTGATAAACCCATCACGAAGTCTTTATATCTGTCTGGATTGTGCCATGTTCTTGTCTACTTTGAAATTAAAACCTTTCAAATAGAAGTTAGGAGTCGATTAATTTGGAGTCTAGTCAATAACGGTATTGTATTCTGCACGTTTATAGAACTCGAACATGTGCCCATTTAAATAAGTCAGACATGTAGTTAACAAATCCGTACGAGTTGGAGTGGGTATATTTAGTCTGTGTGAGGTCGTCGACACAGCCTGTGACATCCATCATTGGGATATATAAAGCTAGTGTCTTTGAGAATATGAAGTTTTACTTTACCTGCATTGATGTTTTATTTGATGAAAATAAATGTTATTTTGTCTAATTACTTACTCAAAAGAATTACCTTTTCTGATAAACTATGTTCTAAAAATGCATCTAAAAATCTTTGGTTTTCAGTTTACTTATGCCAAAAATAGATAAAAAGTTATGCTATTGCATCTTAGATTGTTTCAATTTTCATTTTATTAACAAACATTTAATGTGTATAATTTAATAGATGGAGTCTGTAATGCATCAAATACAAAAAACATATAAATTTAATTGAAGCAATCATTCAATGGGTCAATGCTAATAGTTTTCTTTCTATTTATATCAATATTTGTAACTTTAATAAAATGACTAGAAGGATGTTTCCAAAAATTAAAAAATAGGGTTATTTTCGATAATTGCTTTTAGATTAATAAAGTTAAAAAACATTTTCCTCATTAATATTCAAGTATTAACAAGTACAAGTTAACGGGAATATCATGTTCATTTTTATTCAACAAATAAATACTTTTATTGCTATTGTAATTTTATTGGTAAAGGTATTTACTCGTATCTAATTAAATATACAATCGTATATGTCATTTCAAACCGTACATTCCCGTTCCTTAAGATAAACTGTTATTCCCTACCTAGCTGATTATGTTTTGAAAGCATTTGTACTCTAAGCATAGCGGTTTGTCATGCAGGCCAAAAGGTAACTATTGATATATAAATGTCGGAAATCATAGACACATGGGGAAATTCTTAAGATATATAGGCCATGAACTACAGTAAATCGCCATGATAATGTTATATTTTCCCCTGAAATCTGTCTTTTCGTACCTAACCTTCAGTTTTGATACTATATGTCATGTAACGACAATATAAGATATCTGAGAAAATTCTTTAGTTAAAATGTCGAATGTGCATAACAAGTTAATAAATTAAAATACATTTACACACAGAATTAAAGTCCCTGATGTACACAAAAACATATTGTGACCTTAACATGTTAGTTCAATATCTCTATAATCAATTTATATAGCGACGCGTACAGTGTCGAATTATGTTGGTGATATTTCACGTTACAGTTCTCATCTAAAATGTACCTTAAAACAAACCTATACGTTTAAACTATCATTCATTGACTCAGTGAAAGATATACCTAGGGAGAACATATATATTGATATCAATTCCTGTGTTTATGATTAAATACTGCTTACGACATTGCATTCAGCTGTACTATTCATCAGACATTGTATATTTTACTTTGTTTTTATTGCACGAATTTACTGTTTTCCAATAATATTTATCGTAACTCTTTTATACCTGAATAATTCATTCAGAAACCATGTTTAACCACGATTTCCAGTTAGCTGAAAGTTTTTTTAAAAAGAAAACAAGAACAAAAAGAAACACAAGCCTTCAAGCCTGATCAATAGTTGAACTGAAAACGAACTTACCTGAACCAATAAATGTGAGGTTTTATCCGACATCTCTTAAAAAGCTATATGGTGTAATTAATCATCAAAGGTATCAATACAGGGATATAAAAGTAATCTAACACTACATTATTCATGATAAACAAATTGTAATAGCATAATTTAACAATTCTATCATTGCTCAAATGATAATGGTTCCTCTGGTAAAGAAGATTGGGTTGAGCAACATAAGGATTTACTATTTTAAATGTTTTGATAGGTTTGGATGAAATAAAGGTATTTATGTATATTTATATATTTGCAATTGCCAAAATAATTAGTAATTCCTTAGGCTTTATTTTTCCAATTTACATACTTTATGATCATGCTAAATTTTATCATAAATATTGCCTTTTTAATTGTTTTCTGGAATGTATATATCTTTATTAAGCAAGCAAAGTCTGACCGAATTACCTTTGCGAACAAGTGTCCGATACTAAAAACTGAAGAAATAACCATGATCACATAATAGCAATTTTATTAGGAACATTTTTAATTATATATCATCAGTAAAGGAAAGTGAACAAATGAATAAAAATGTCGTTGATATGTCTTTATTGTACGCGATATATATGTCTCATCAGTATGAAGGTGAGGATGAACATATCAATCTTAATTATGTAAATAGATATACAGTCGTAACAATATAACAATAAATTTTTACTAATAAAAATGTGAAAAAAAATGCAGATAAACCATGCAGACAGAACTTTTCAATTGACATAACTTTGCATAAGCTGAAAATGGGGAAGTTTTGAACACCTGCGTTTTATGCTTTTTACCTTAATCATTATATTTTGTTTTTAATATTGAATACCTTTGTTTGAAAAAAAAAAACACACAATAAAACAACAACAAAAAACAACAAAAAACAACAACAACAAGAAAACACAAAACACACACACGAACGAAACATAATAAAACCAATTCGACAGCTTTGGCAATCAATTCAATTTGTAACTCATACATAATATGAGCTTTGTCAAAGATTTAAAGATAAACAAAATGTTGTTCTTCATTAGCGTTCTCTAGTTCATATGATGTTGATCAAAATGAATTGTTTCTCTGCGTTTAAGTTGATCTACCTAACCTCTACATATTAATTGAAGTTTGCTGTCAAAAGAAAAGAATGATTTATATCATTTTGATTTTAATGATATCAGTTCCTTAATTAAGTTCCGAAAGCATTATATTCTATGAATCATACATATGCAATATAAACAGGTATTGCTCAAAGCATAGTTTAAGAAAATAGATACTATGCATCACTCCGCATTCTTAAACAATATGACAAAGAAAAATGTTGAACAATATTTTGCCAAAATATCAATAGTTGTTATATGATAATCTTTTAGTACAAATTTTAAACTTTTGACACTTTGCTACAGGAATCATTCTACCACCATTTTTTTCATATGATCAGCATCCCACTTGTTCACAATCCATTAAAAATCTACGTTTGCCCTTTCTAACGGTGGCGCAAAGGTGACGTGTGTGTTTCTATTTATCACGTTCGCACGAGATACTATGTCGTGGCCACGAGATAGCTAAGTCGTGGCCACGCGATACTATGTCGTGGCCACGAGTTACTAAGACGTGGCCACGAGATAGCTAAGTCGTGACCACGAGATACTATGTCGTGGCCATTAGTTACTAAGTCGTGGCCACGAGATACTATGTCGTGGCCACGAGGTACTTAGTCGTTGGATCGAGATAACTAAGTCGTGCGAACGAAATAATTAACCAATCAGAAAACATAATATATATTATGATTTTTTAAATTTAACAACTTACTTTTACATGCAACGAGATAAATAAAAACACATACATGTCACCTTTGTGCCGCCGTACTTTCTTCTTCAAGGACAAAAATATTTCTAAAGCGAAATATACCTCTAAGTTGTCGATGTTGTAATTGTGCTTTTAAAAACGAGTGGTATTATTCAGACAGTAAAATTTGTACTAGATATATTTGTTTCATACATTTACAAGTCTTATTGTTTTCTTTGCGTGCAATTAACAATACACATCTGTGTAATGTCAATATCAAGTAATACGAGTAGATAAACTAGATAAAATATATTTTAAGACAAAGTGGTTCACATTTGCATTTTCAGATCGGAACGGAAAGCTTTTGTGAAACTAAAAAGGGAGTGAATGTATAATTCGTTAAATCAGGACAGTTGAGTTTCAGTTTACTAGTAGGTGTAAATCTCTTCTGAATTAAGAATAAGTTTGAAGATAAATTGAAGGAATTATCACAATTGGTAAGTTTTTCTCGTCTTAAAATTATGTGAGCCGCGTCACGACAAAACCAACATAATGGGTTTGCGACCAGCATGGATCCAGACCAGCCTGCGCATCCGCGCAGTCTGATCAGGATCCATGCTGTTCGCTATCAGTTTCTCTACGTGTTATAGGGTTTGTAAGCGAACAGAATGGATCGAGATCAGACTGCGCGGATGCGCAGGCTGGTCTGGATCCATGCTGGTCGCAAACCCATTATGTTGGTTTTGTCGTGACGCGGCTTATGTTATTCTTGAATCACTTGAGATATGTTGTATAACACCACAAATAAAAAAGAAATAAAATATTTGAAAGATTTTACTGATTTGCATTTATTACACGCTTTAGAATAGTTGCAATCATGTTTTGATGATTTCACAGTGAAACTATCAAAATATAATTTTGCAGTAACAAAAATTTATTTGAATGCGGGTGAAAATAATTTATCATGTATAAATGAAATTTCCTCAAAAAACATCATTGTTAGTAAAATGTACATGATTATGGTAACTCATGAATATTTGGACATATCGTGCTAAAAATGTAGCACAATTCGAGAAATTTTTAAAAATTTACTTTTCATCATTGGAACTCTGGCGAATTAAAATCGTGAAGGAAAGTACATATGTTTGTCAAAATGAAATGATAAAAAAGACTTTTAATAAGAACATTCGATTATTTTTACATGTGAGATAAAAATATATTTCACTCGTCAACATACTGCTGTTATATTTGCAGTCGTAGCTAGTTCCATTCTTGAAAATATTCAGTTCATTCTGTGAAATATATTTCAATCGTACGTGCTAAACAATCCAATTTCTTATTTTTCTCAAAAATAGAAAAAGTAAGGAATACATTAAAAGTTAAAGTGATTCTATTGGTTAATGTAATTTTATATTGCGGAAGTAATTTTAATATTTTAAGCAAATGTAAAACTAAGAAATTGCTGTAAGTGAATGAGGATATCTGTTCTTGATATTGCGGGCATTTGTAACTTGTTGAATACTCTACTTGCTATTAAACCTGATAGAATATTCTGCTCGTATACATGACTTGATACACTTTTCTCCGTGTGCAATTGATAAGAAAGAGAATTGCAATGTAAACATAAAGTAATATGAATAAGCAAACGATATAGAAGACTATAAGCTTTACATTTGCATAAATTTTGTATTATATCATTTTGCTCATGACTAAAACGTCACGTTTTATTTCACGGGTTATTATTTTTTATTAATATTCCCTTTTTTGCCTTGTATTTTATTACGTTCACTATTTGTTTTGGGTAAATAAAAAATTGGTTGAAGTTTTATTTTTTATTTTTGGGAGACACTTTGAAGTAGGTGGTCTTTTCTGTATCACTTAAAGGCACATCATGCCACAGAATTTAAACAAAAATCTAAAGGAGGGTCAAAAATATGTTTAGTAATGTCTAAGTAATTGATTTAGAGAATATAAGTTATTATTTAATGAAAGAAATTTTCACTAAATGTGTAATAATCTGTTGAAAAGGTAGCAAAATGCAAACGAAAGACTCCACAAAAGTTATATTCCAATTGCAAAAGGGCAAAATAAGCAAAATATAGTTCATCTTTAAATTTATGACCAATGAGTAACTTAAAAGTTGTAACACGATAGTAACAATGAACGTTAGCATTTCTTAGGGCTAATGTGCCTTTAGATATTAATGCATTTTAATCAAAACAATCAACATGTCGTCCATCTCGACACTAGTTAATTAAACAAAAGATATCCCAATCTATCAAATGAGAATAACAACTATAAAAATTTGGTTTCTGTTTGGTAGAGCCCTATAAATACCACATCATTTAATAACGTATGATAACATCTCATTCCTTCCCGTTATCAATACAATCTCAGAAAGAGATAATTCAACAGTTATGATTTGTGCTCTGTCACAGTCATGGTAGTCTTATCTAAAAGGCATCATTACTATTATTGTCTTAAAAGGACCAAATGAGACATAAAAATAACAATACTACATTTTTTTTTATAATCCAAAAAAAACACTAGTGAATGAAACATTTTTTTCTGAATTATCTAGATCTTATATTTTAAATTTTATTATTTCATTGTATCATGGAAAAAACACACAATTTTATTTATAAAAGAAATGAAAGATAAAAATATGAAATTGATTTTTTCGAAGTTGAAATCGTGAATTCACGAAATTGAAATCGTGAATTCGTGAAGTTGAAATCGTGAATTCTTGAAGTTGAAATCGTCAATTCGTGAAGTTGAAATCGTGAAATCTTGAAGTTGAAATCGTAAATTCGTGAAGTTGAAATCGTGAATACATGAAGCTGAAATCGTGAATTCGTGAATTCCGTATGTTGAAAACGGGAATTCACGAAGTTTAAATTGTGGATTCATGAAGATTCATGAAGATTGAAATCCGGAATTCATGAAGTTGAAATGGCCCTACCGGTCTTTCGTATATAATTAACCATAGTGTTTATATGTTAGTTACGAGCTTACTTACGTATAGTTAAACTGTATTCAAAGCTTTCAGCTGCATTTGTGTTTATAGACTGAGCTTTTTAGAGTTTTAAAATATAATATCTTAACGTTGATATCGGTAAACGTAGTTTATGATTTACAAAGAAAATTCAAACCGAACACCTGTAGGGCTAGCCATAAGTTTAGATTTCAGAGGTTTCACGATTTTAAAAGTTCTGGACTGTATGTAGTAAGTAATCGGACAACTTGTGTTTGGTTTATATCTTTTTAAAAGATTAGTAGACGAATCATTGGATACATTTTCATTTCTGAATAAAAGAGATTGTTTTGGTATGTAGTCACCTGATTTTGTGAGACTTGGTTGTCGTACTATTAAATTATAGTCTACAAACACGGAAGCAAATATTTATCTCATGGTCATATTTAGCCAAATATTTAAGCATATATCAAAATGGAAACCGCAAAGATTGCCAAACATGGCAAAATTGAAAATATTTCAGGTTCGATTCAATTCAACATTTAATTGTTGGCATTAGTGTGTGCACTCTGTCGTACATGCATTCTAGCGCCGGTGTTTGCAAAATTCATCTTTAAGACATAATATCAAAAACAGGCAAAGATGTATTCCTACGGTTTAATAGTCAATGCTACATTTCCATACCATTCCATGAACACTGAATAGGGTGTCCAAAAACGGGGAATTAAAATGATATTTGGAAGGAAGATCTTATGTTAGGGAACCTGATGAAATGTTGGAAATGACGTTTCGTGTGACTAAATAATTATACCAAAACAGCAAGTCCATTAGTCTAAGTACGAAATTCGATAAAAGGTAGTTGATAAAATATTTGTATTCTGCTGCACAGGTAGATAGAAGTAACCATGATTTTTCTCTGCCATAATTATACAATATCGTACAAAGATAAAAATATATATATGATCTGATCCCTGTGTTTTCAAAGAATTATAATAGAGAAAAGAACAAAAATTAATTAAATGTTCACAAATAAGATGTTTGATAATGTCCTCAATGTAATTTTAGGTGCCACATTGCGTGCAAAGCTTCAGTTTGATTATTTGTCTTAAAGAGTATTTTCTTCTATTTTGAACTTGAACTTTATATTATTATGGTGTTCTACCCTTTGACTCAGATAAAAAAATCTTTTCACAAGTCGGTGTCAAGTATTGTGACGTCCTTCAATTCAAATGAGTATTTAACACGGTTGGTCTGAAAACAGAACAAATCAGCTGCCATTTTGTAGCTCAAACTCGCTTTACTCAAAATACCGAGTATGTCGAAAAAGTTTTAAACCTGTCAAAATTCCTTCTGTATTTTTTAAACCTTGTGTTAACTTTTTAACGTCATATATATTTTTACAAATGAAACATAAAATATGTATTAAGTTCTTTTTTTTAAATGTTCGAGAAGGTTAAAAGCACATAACAAGTCGTGACAAAGCAAACACATAAAGACAATGTACATATAGCATTTGGTGTACGAACCCGAAGTAAAACAAAAGCATTCTCTAAATCCTCACTTAAATCTTTTTTTCTTTTTCTTTTTCATTACGATGTGAATCGAATTTCATCACATTTGGTTTTTTGTATGTCTCAATATAGACAATGTATTGTTACTGTAAATGGAAATTCCTTGTTTAAAGAACAATAATACATGTATATATAATATATATATATACATGTATTTAAAATAATAAATATCTTGACATAGTATCTTTGAGATACTACGTAAATTGTAACAAAAAGAAATTACTAAAAGTCTTACAGATGTTAACATGTTTAAAGGTTCATCTTTTCATTAAAGTTTAGATTAATTGTCAGGGATAAGCATGGCGTGTGCTTCTTCATTTTGTAATCAAGTAGTCATTGCTCGCAATCAAATAATTTGTATAACATAGTTTAATCGGAAATAATCAATCGAACAGTTTATCATATGAAACGAGAATAGGAAAGAGCTTGTCAAAGAACTAATGGTTTTCCTTTTCGTTCATTTGAATGCACAACATTGTTTTATGGTGGATTTTTATCATGATTTGATTGAAACAGTTATAGTTTAATTTACGAAAATTTATTCTGCTGAGTTTACATTTATATTGACTATTTGTTGAGCTGGTGTTATTATTATCAGGTGAATCGGGTAAAATTGTACACACAAGTGACTAACCTTTTGTTTATCGCTAAACTTTTATGATGTCGATAGTGCTCTACAGTTATACTTACTGTGTACAAATAATTTTTCTAACAAAATGAACTTCCTTTGATTTTTTTAAACTAGCAAGTTAGAAAGTATAATTTCTAGGCATTAAAGAGTATCAAAATTACTTAGTTTAAAGATACATTTGAATTTGCTTTGCCACATGATTATCTAATTAAACCTACCCCTGAATCGAATTAGAATTACTGTTTGACCCAATACAGAGGTCCTGTTTGTTTTATGCCATGATTTCATTGCCCCTGTTTGTCATTTTGTTCAATACATATT